TAAGTTGAGATTGTTGAGCTTACTTCCATTTCGAGTGGAAGTGTTGCGTGAAGAGATTCGAAGGTCGGTTTCACCAAAAGATGACGGCGGATTTCTCTTGACCAGCTGTCGATTGGCTTAACTGGAACATTCTTGTTGATACTGTTTCCGAGGCAATCTGTTTCGATTCCGGCGAAAAGGTGCTAAGCTTTCGTCCGTCAAATGACGAACATCATCAAAGCAAGGAAGGTATCATCGTCACAACCAAATTGAAGCTAACGAGTCAAGAATACTCACCAACAAATCCCTAAAAAGTGGTACATATACTCTAAATCTGGCCTCTTTGATGAGGTATAAAGTGATTTGGTTAGTTACGGTCATTTGTCAATTTCGATGCATGTGAGTGTGTCTGTCTCTGTATTTGTATGTGCCTGTTTGTGTTCGCTTATACACGAAACCCGCCATTCTTTGCTGGATCGGCCGACAGGCCTCACCAACATGAGGTCGGCCGGATGAACAGATCATCTTAGAACAGCCGGATCTTGGTGCTGCGTCACATTTCTCCCTAAAAGAAGGTAGAACCGAAGAAAGTGTCAGAGTTCCGTTGAAAGCTGTCTCTATCCTATACTTTCTCACTAGTCCGCCCATCCTCTTGGAACGAAGACACGATGGAAAGATTAGAACACGAGGATTGGTTGAGCACACAAACATACACATACACATACAGAGACAGACACACTCACATGCATAGATGTTGACATATGACCTTTAATAACCAAATCACTTTATAATTGATCAAAGAGGACAGATGTAGAGTGTATATACCACTTTTTAGGCATTTGCCGGTGACTTTTCTTGACTCGTCAGCTTCAATTTGGTTGTGACGATGATACCCTCCTTGCTCTGATCATGTTCGTCATGTGACGGACGAAAGCTTAGCACCCGTTCACCGGACTCGAAGGAGATTTCCTCGGGAACAGCGTCAGCTTTTGTCCGTCATGGGAAAGACATCATCAGAGCGAGATAACATCGTCACAACAAAATTCAAGCCAACGAGTTTTCTTGAATCAAAGGAGATTGCCTCGGAAACAACGTCGGCATGAATGTTCCAGTAAAGCCGATCGACAGCTGGTCAAGAGGAATCCGCCGTCGTCTTCTGGTGGAACCGAGCTTCGAATCTCGTCACCGCACACTTTCACTCGAAATGGAAGTAAGCACAACAATTATGAAACAAAAGATTCCTTGAAACCCTCTCTTTTCTTTGGTTCTTTGTTGGTTTAGTCTTTTTTGGTGAGTCCTCATAAAACATGGCTTTCAGCCTTGAAGATGTCCACAACATGAAGGACCAATGCTTAGCACAGAATGGTCGTGGTCGTGGACGGTGAGCCGAGGTCTTCTTCGCACAATATGTGCGAAGCAAAGTTGGGTTTCGAGGAATATCTTCTGGTGGCACGGACCTTCGAATCTCTTCACCCAACATCTTCACTCGAAATGGAAGTAAGCCCAACAATTCTTCGCACAAGCCAACAAACAACTGTCCAACTGTCCTTCAGTATCCGAAGTGGCCGATTCCCGAATCACTTTCAGCCGTCTTTTCAAACGAAACGTAGCGAATGCAGGCACCATTCAACAAAGCGATTCTGAGAAAGTCAACTTTTTCTAACAATTCTAAAAATGTCTAGGGTCGCCAAGACTGTCTGATCCGAGAAAAAAACATGATCTCAATTGTATTGGTTGTTAAGTGACTCTGTTTGAGTTGATGCCATGTAGACCAAGTTGTGTGAAAGTGAGGTCAGGTTAGCAGAAATCATAGTTTGTCCATGTGGAGCGATCAAGGTTGAAGAGTGTGAATTCGGTGGGAGCTATCAGTCAGCTGACGAGGTGATTCATCTTCTTTTGCAAGGCGGATCAGCAGCCTCTGACTCTTTCAATTTTTCAATCGGGCATAAGTAATTGTTGATCATCTTTCTGCCGCCATTACTCACATTCAATGCCTTCCACAACCAATCAATTTGCATTGCCTCTCTCATCTTCTTCTCCCCAACACACGAACCACAATCAACGAACCCACTCGTTTGAGATCAGTCAATCTCGTCTCCACACTCTGTCCAGCTTGTTCGACCACTTCCGACCGTCGGAGCCAAATGTCTTCACAACGATTGTTGTGCTACTCCAATCTTTGTCGAATGCGCCTGCATGTCCCACCAACACAAGATCGAGCACAGGAGCGCACAATCTTGTAGCTGCCGGATCTCGAGGAGGGCGCATATTTGCCTCGTAAAAATGGTAGAACCGAGCAAGACGACAGAATCTCCTCAAACACTAATTTTCTCTTTAAAAGTGAATGTTTCAATCTGCCAAACTTTTCGGTAGATGATTTGCACTCGTCAAAATGATGTATTTTAAGGCTCCAACCTTGTTTTTGTAATTTTGTTTGCAAAGACAATTTATAACGAAACCGGCAGCTCTTGGCAACCTACAATGTATCCTCTTCCCCAGCAAGCATGACATGAGAAAATTGCAATCTCTTATTCTCTTCTACTTCTGTCTTGAACTTGGCTTTTGTCACGTTGTCAAATGACAAAATAATCTGGCCATCAATTTATGGGTCGCTATTTTTATGCTTTTTGCATAAAGCGCTCCTCAAACTTCGTCATGTAGTTTTTCACAAAAATCGGAGCTAAACGAGTCCTTGCGTCTATTTATTACACCAACCATTAACAGTTAATTAAATACTACTCACAAATAGATTAAGTAGTCTTAGAATGGAGGTTATATTCAACTAGCTCCTCCAGGTCGAGCATTAAAGCCGGAATGGGCACCGAATGGTCCCAGAGGTTTGTTGATTATGGTACTTCTGCCGTGGAAAGGAAGATGAGAGAGGCGATGC